AGTGCGGCACGTGAAAGCACATACGCGTACATAAGCTCACCGTGGGGGCACATACGCGGGCATAAGCTCTCATGTACACGTATGCAGAATCGAGATGCACCGCAGAGGGGAGATTGAGAGTAAAGTGTCTCTTGGGCACGTCGTAGGGGGAGGGGAATGCGATACAATGGTTTACAGCAGTGTCCACGACATTTCCGAGTCATGAAGCGATAAGTGTACATGCCGGGGATGCAATTGAATCTCGCGGTTGGCAAGGAAAACTCGAGATTACGGATTTCGAGAGGGGTCACGAGTGGTTTTTTTTTTCTTCTAGGGAGGACCGATTATCGCCCGGTCTAATTAAAATATATGTACGGGGTTAAACTCCGAGTTGAAAACTGATTTCCATAGACCGGTAATGACATTTACATACTCCGGGGTAAATGGCATCCCCGGGGAGGCTTATCTCGCGCGTTAAGTGCGCCGCGGAGCGGACTTTATTATCAGCTGTTAAATTTACCCTCGACCTCTTCATTATTATTAAATTAAATAGAGCCAAGGTGAGCGCTCGCGTATAATCCCGGATTTTAGATCGGACAAAGTGGACGCAATTAAAACGCACCCTTTGAAAATCGAGGGGACGTGTACCCGAAGGTACGTTAATTAGTGATGCACAAAAATGAATTGACACGCAAGTCCTGTAATTCAATGTCGGTGGTATACCTCGTAACCACGCGGGTCGTTTAGCACAATTAAACTAGACCGCGATCATATCTAGATGGTTGCAAGTATTTCATTTTCCTTTACCGATAATTGAGTCGTGTATTAATATCCGAATTTCAGGATTTAAAAGCATCCGAAGGACAAAAAGCCGATTGCATTACTTAGGCAACGGAAATTCTATTCGCGGTTGCAACATTCATTTCCGGAAAGAACAAACGGTGTCAACGATATTTTTCGGCCGTTGCTGCGGATTGACGTGGTAATTAATCTTACATACATTATTGCGGCTGGGAATTATTTTCCCACGCGTGGGTCGACCGAGTTGATAATTCTCTCTTTTTTTATTTTTTTTAATTTCAACATTCCGGGGAGAATATATCTGCAAGTTTATACCGTAAAAGCTCCCTTATGACGTCGTAAAGATCGAGGCTTCCGGGTTCGCGAGGAAGCCAGCCCCGAAGTCAGGAACAGTTTCCGACAGTTTCTGACGAGGCAAATGACTACGACGTGGCAGGAGCTGTTCTGAATAATTCATTTCGAGCTCCGTCTACTCAGCGATTTCTATAGTGATTCCACGGAGTGAGAGAAGAATCTTATACCGGGATATGAGGAACAATGCGCGGGTAATGTCGGTACCTGCATGACTCGATCGTGTATTACGCATTACGCGATCCCCCTGTCTTACAAAACTTCCTGGGAAACGCGTTCGCTTTGTAATAATCTCGACAAAGAGATAACACTTAGTGGCGGCGATATTAAAAAAAGCAACTTATATGAATAAAAAATCCCGGCGCATCGTTGGGAAGTACTATAGAGATATGAGTCTCGTATCTTTTATTAAGCAGCATTTAATGTAGGAATATATCAGAATGGTTACGTTATGATTAGGTAAAAAAAAAAAACAAAAATAAAAAAAGAGTATATCGGGTGGGTATTTCATTCGTCTTGTCGAGAAAGTAGGGTTTCACGGTATTATGTCGTGATTACTATGGGTGGGTGGAGCGATAAGGGGATAAATCAGAGAAGGAGGAGTGTCGAAAACACTCGCGAAAGGACGAAAACTCGTCGGAAGGGTTCGAGAAGGGTCGAAAGAATGTGACTAATCCCGCCGTGTAGACTCTAAGGGTTCAATTCAAGGGTAGACCCGCGTGTATGTTGTTTCACAGGGACGTTGTCAATTATCCCTTCGTCTCTGTCCGCCACCCTCTTAGCAGTCGAGCCGTAATTTTAACAGGGTTTACAACAGGGTCTGTCCTGCAGGAGTACGGAACGAAATTTCTCACGAAGGGACGCCGGTGGATTTTCCCTTATTTCCTACCTCGGCGAACCGAAAGTGAAAAGTAGCCAGTAAAATCGTATGCCAATAGTAATACCAGTATATCGAGTTGATGCATAAGTATTGGCGGCTTTAACGCGTAAGGTAACGTGTAAAAAGGCGCCATTACTTATCCACCTACCCAATACCATTTTATTACAATTCCCAGGAATAATGTAATTTTATGTAAGCCCGTTTTAAAAAATGTTCTCGGAGACCGGTTATTTCTCTCCACGTCATTTTCAATTTAATTCCTCACTTTGACATTTACTATGTTATTGAATTCACCCGTACGTGATAAATTAGACTACTTCTTTCGCTAATAAAATCGCGTTAGTTGTAATCAAAGCGATTCTAAAAGGGCATCGGAGTCAAAATTAATCACTTCTCTCCCGATGTGTCTCCTAGCTCCTCCAGCTGACATAGAAGTATGAAGCTTTAACGGTAGTAATCGATACTTGCAATTGGAACAGCGAGTGTCGCGTGCATAGTACAGGAGGCAGAACATAAATATAGCCGTATATCTGGTAATAAAAAGAGAATAGAAAAAAAAAAATAAAAGACATCTTCATTCGCCGCTTTTCGGAGCAATTCTCCAAATTAAACATTAATTTCTCTAAAAGTAGTCGACAAACCGAGGGCGGGCGCGCGCCATCCCGTTAATTAAATATTTGATTAAATTCCATTACCGATGAGAATTCCGAATTTAACAACATATTTCACGACCATACTTTAACCGCTTTCTCCGCGAAAGCTTTATAAAGCGTTATTTCACCGAACTGCTTTTCATCCCAGCCGAAACGTCAAACTGTCCGAACTTCAGCAGTAATTGCAGTTTTATTTTTTTCTCTCTCTCTCTCTCTCTCTCTCTCTCCCTCTTCGGGAAAGTTCATTTCACGAACTAAGTCGAAACTTTCCCCCTCCGTATTTCTCGCTTCATTTCTTCTGGCTATTGAATTACAAAACAATCCATTCGCGTTGAATTACAAATTATTGCGCGAAATGTACGTAAAATTAAAGCACTAAATTAATCCGAGGAAACGGCTAACAGTATTACCGCGAAGCGATAAATAAATGCGAGATGAATAATCCCTCTCCCATTGTTATCAATTCCCAATTACCCTTATTAAAAAAAAAAAAAAAAACACCCATACATATTACATGAAACCACTTTTCACCGATCGAGGAGCCGACTCTAATTAAATGCTTCAATGCGTTTCCATATCGTAACTGGATTACATATATTCCCAATATTATCACGCGTAATGAAATTATGAAATTTACTCACAAATCTATAATAAATGAATACTAATTCTTGTTATTATGTGGTATTTAGTTTCCTTGGGGGTCTAGTTCCTTTCAAATAAAAGGCTGAAGATCCAAATTATGTCAAAGGCTTCCTCGGGGGGAGGGGGTGAAATCAATCATCCCCCTCGATAAATCCCCCTCCAACCCTCCGATCGTTATCGAGCCTCGAAAGGGTCCACTCGAAATAGCAGTTTAGCAGCCGACATAAACCGAGCATCGATAATCGACGTCGGATATTTCGACGACACAATCGCTCTCGCATTTCTCCTTGACGGAGAAAAAGAGGGACGAAGGGTCCCCTCTTTCTCCGACGGACAAATCGATCCGGGAATAAGAGCGTCCCGCGGGAGAGGCTGCGAGATCGCTTCCTGCGCGGTAGAGACCTGCGTTACCGACGTCGCGACCCGAGCCGCCAATTTTGTACCTCGTAAGGTGATATCAAAGGGTCATTCTATAAACACTAAATTATTCTACGATATTAGATTTCTACCTTATACAAACGCTACGTTACAAGCCATTGATGTTTCTTTCGCAAGCCTCGATTCGATCGGAACGTTCGAAGGCCCTTTGAGGTTCGGCAAGAGAAATGAACCACGGCATTACGAGGGAATGAAATGAGATTGAGATTATATCATCGGCAAACCGATCAAAGGAATAAAGGATTTAGAGGTTAAACCGAGATCTATATAATTTCGAAGCCAGGGAGGACACGCTCACCGCCCTCCGGTATTTTCGATCACCCGGACAAATTTGTCTCGCGAGTTCGACCTCTCTGCAAATTACTTTCCCCGTGGCCTGACCGTACCCCCCCGTAGAAGCGATTTCAATTAAGCTCGGCGATCTTTTGCGAAAGTTCGCCATCTCGCCCGACGTGGGCGACGAAATACACCCCTACGGAGGGTCGGTATAGAAGATTCCCAGTAATTCGGGGCATTATCGGCGTCCTCGTTGGTTAATTTTCGGGTGATTGGAGGGACGCGAATTCGCGGGAGATTGGCCAAATTCGGTGATTTTTACGAAGGAATGAAAAATACCCCCCCACTTTCCCGACCCTCCTTGCCGTAAGAGATACGAATTTAGCTCGGAAATATGGCCGAATCTCTTGCCGAATAAATTCCTAAACTCTTATCCTTTTAACGTGAGACTTGCATTCAGGAGTCGATCGATATAGTGACACGCGTCCCTACCCGCGATTTAGTTTTCCAGGCCAGTCAAACCCTCCTAAGTAAAAAAAATAAAATAAAATAAAATAAGGCGTCCCGGTTTTGGCACAACTCAAACTGAATCCCTGGATTTCCTCGCGGGGCGATCAAACAAAATGGCTGATCGAACGGGAGAAGGAAAACAATCTTTCTATTCTCGGAACGAGCTCTTTCGTTTAAAACCGTGCGAGGGGCTCTTCACTTAGGAATCAGCTAAAACGACTTACTTTGATTCGACATCATATACAGCAATGCAATTTTCGTTAACGAGTGACGCTCGGTCTTAAAATCGTGACAGCGTTCGGTGATTTCCAACTTGCGATTTTCCAGGTGATCCTCCGCGTCTCTTCGAGGCGTTTAAGATCGACGATTTCCTCAGTGAGTACCCCCTCGTCTTAAGTGCCGAAAGGTCGATCGATTACGATTCGGATAATTGGTATAAAATTTTCGCTAAATGTGCAAAAGACCCTCACCTCTCCATGGGAATCCCTGCGTCCATCCGGCGTGTTCTCCGGAAGAAAGTACAGTCGCAAAGATGCCAGAGGCTGATTTGGCCCTCGACTGTCCAGCCAGAGAAGTTGAAGCTCGCCGATGCTGACGAGATCGGCATCGCTCCAGAGCTTCGTAAGGAAGAAGCTGCCAAGTCTCAAAACTCGTCCGTTTCCTATTCGAACCGCCTTGTAAAACGTGTAAGGGCCGTGGCTGAAGCAGGCACCGCCCAACAGCTGAAACAACAATGACATTTATTATTGACACGTCGAGTTGCTCCCACTGATATCGGTTTCCACCTTAACTAAGGTGACCTCAAAGAAATCTTAATAAAACTCTTCCTCTCCACTGGAAGTACCGAATCGCTCAAATAAGAAACGTTACCATGTAAACACGCAGACAATGAGGAAGTACCTGACCAGCCATGAAATTTCAATTTTTCGAAAGTCCATGGACTTTAAAATTAGGAGCAGCGAGGGTTACTCTGTTAACTCGTTATTTAATTCGTCATTGAAATTAGGAGTTAAAAGTATGAGCAGTGGAAGTCATTTTGAAGGTTCTACAATGAAGAAAAAAAAAAAAAAGGAGTCCCTAGTTTCATTGAAACAACTCTTAATTAAAATGGGTTTAAGTTACGAGCCGTAAGAGTTATTTTACAGGCACTCCCAACGGATTCAGATAGATTCCAGGTGGGATAGAATCGACTTTTTGAATCGGTCTAATTGTAGGCGAATGCGCGGTACTTTCACCTGGCAAGACTCCGAGAGTCATGCAGACCCAAGGTACCTTTTTCATCCCTAAAAGGCCAGTTTAAATCCAAAGTGCAATGCTAGGTCTTATCCGTTGGAAAGCTGCCCAACTCTCGGGAGGTCTTAATAAACTGAACCAGCAGGTCTGAAAACGCTATAATTACGAAATTACTGACAGAGATAAATCACCTTAGTCGCGGAAACCGCGTGAAAAGAAGCACAAAGGACGGCGGCAGAAGTGCCGACAAGTGTTACTAAGTGTAGTTATAACGATGTTTACATGACCATCGCTTTTGTAAAAATAGAAATAGCATTCGACACTTCACCGATCGCCACAAGTGAAATGCACCGGCCCCTGTAACCGTACTAATTGCAAGTGAATGCGAAGTACTTTCACCTGGCCATACCTGATTAGTAACCCAGATAGAAATGATCATCATATGACGAGGTAAATTGGTTTGCAAACCATTAGCCGTATGAAATCTGTCTGCGACATATGTGCGCGTATTAAGCAATAAATTTGAAGAAAAATTTGTCACACCGGCGCTCAAATGAGGTACACACGGTGGGATTGTATATCGGCAATGCGTGAGATGAATTTAACTGTGCACGGTGGGTTGACGATCCCACGCTTCGTGAGGAATTACCGAGTAATTGCGCAAGAATAAATCCATCGACACCTGGAGCCGCGATAATCGCAGGTGAACGCATAATACTTTCACCTGGGCCTCGAGTGAGAGATGCAAATACAGGCGGGGTGGATTTTTTTCAATCCTAAAAGCCCGTTTAATTCCAATCCGTAACACCGGGTTCTCCTTTTGGAAGGCTGCCCAGCTCTGAGGAACTCTCGAGAAGCTTCTCCCAGGAAGGGAAATTTCCTAGGCAAGAATAACGAAAGAGAGGAGGAAGGCAGTATTATATCGAGGACGGTGGGAAAGGAAGAAAGGAAGATAGGGAATTTTAAAATGCTGGGAGAGGAGATAAAAGAATAAGGGAAAAATAACGTAACGTCAAGTAAATCGGAATTAAGAGGGATGCACGAATACGTGGAGGATGGGAAAAGCTTTTCGTTGGTTGGTCTCTTTTAAAACATCACCTCCTACCCGAATGAGAGAATTTCACTGCCGAGGAAGACAGGGTGGTTTTCGAAGGGGGTAAATCGGCAGAAATCCCCGGGGAGGATCCCGGGGGAGTATTTACAGGATACCGCATGTGTACGCACGTTGTACGCGTGTAAACGCGTGTAAGCGCACGTATACATTCCAATAGAGCCCTATGTACATGTGATGTGCGTATCTTATGTGTACATTACTTGCTCAGGGTATGCACAGTTGGGTACCTGGCGGGGTTGGAAACTGACTTTTCACTAGGGGAGCTTACCAGCATTGCAGTTACTAGCTGCTTCTCAAGTTTCGGGTGAGATAATTGTACGTCATTTTGGGAACCGAATATCTGGATCGGGGTGGCCATTTATGGGATGAGAAAGCCCAGTTCGAATAAATGGAAATTCATAGGGACGACTTCTCTTGGGCCTACTTGGCATTTAAAATTAAGATGGCGTGGCAATTTGTAACGTGGCATGAAAATCGTACCTAGGAGGAAAATCTTTTCTTCTAACTGCACAATCCTTCCTATCTTCTAACTGCTGCAATTCCCATGTGCATATAAATATCTAATTGTTGAGTAGATTCGTTACTTTTGGGGCGATAATTACATTGTACGTTACGTGCGCAGGGTATGCAAAGTTGGATATACCTGGAGGGGTTTCAAACTGACTTTTCAGGAAGAGAGCTTACCAGGGTTGCAGTTTCTCGTTGTTCCTCGAGGTTAGGGGCGAGGAGTTGTACAGAATTTCGGTATGATGAAAGTTTGGTTATACAGAATATGTGGTCAGTCTCAAATAACCGCAAATTAACAAAGAAACGATTTCTCACGTATCCACGTGATGCCTAAAATAAAAACGGCGTAACAATTTATCCCGTGGTTCCAGAATACGCGTATTAAAAAACGGGAAAAACAAACCTCCCTTCCCAAGTGACAATTTACTCGCATAAATAACCGTTCGATCGTTAAGTAGTTGGTATATTTTACGGAAATCTCTGATCCCCCTTCAAAAAGAATACGTTCTCGAGTGTAAGACGCTAAAAGATATCGAATACCGATAATTCCGAAAACCGTGACGAGCCGTGTTGGGAGACCGGCGCGCGCATCCGCACATGCGCGTCGCGTCTTCTCCGGCTCGCCGATTCTCTAGGTTATGGTTCCCTTACCGGCCTTCTCCCGTTTCACGTCCGTAAATTCTCCATTACCTTCCGCTCCGGGTCCGCCGACTAGCATGCCAGGCCGTGGGTTTTCTTTTCTTCCTCGGGGCTGCAAAAGCGTCGACGCGCGGCGTACGACGCGCGCGTGATTAAACGCAGCCGCCAAGAGCGCGGGCCTTCCTGCCGGCAACGACGATCGCGCGGGCGGCGCGGGGCGACGTGGTCGGTAAGGAAGATCGAGCGACCTTCCCCCACCGCGCCGCCTCGCGCGCGCCGAGCTCGGCCGTTACCTTCCCTTTGCTTCATTTAGCGCCGATTTGAAATTCAACGGCCCTCGCGGGCCGGCCGCTCGGCCGCTTCCGTCTGTCTTCGGGCAGCCTCGGCCGCGACCCCCACCCCGCCCGCGCGGTCCCTAACCTCGACAACTCTGCGATCGCGGCCCCGGCGTGACGCGTGTTTACACATCTCTGTGTTTGTGTCCTGCGTGAGGGAGATGCGGAGATACTTAGGAATTTCGACGTCCGATTTTCAGGACGCGCGTTGCCGATTAAGAATAAGAAAATATGCGATGCCGATATGTAAAACATTGTACCGCTTAGAAATAAATATATAGAATGCATATAGTATTCAGTATGAATAAAAAGAAATCCAATTATCTCGAAGCATTAGAACGTATGAATTTTTTTTTTTCCTCCTCTTTCGGGTTTCTCGAGATTATATGCGATAGGACTCCGATATTTCGAGGAAGTTGACGGTAATTTTAGTGCTTCGATAAATCAACGTTTAAAAAAAAAAATACTCTCGAGAAATTAGTCGACATAATTAATCAGAGCTTATTTACGAACCCGCCAATGAGATCGTCGACTCGCAATATTTCAACGAGAGCGAAGAAAGAGAAAAATAAAGGACCTACACAGAAATAACTCTCAATCTCCTTCGGATATTTAAGAGCGACGCGTTGGTCATGATTTTAAAAATATCCCTCCAATGTTTTCGCCGAAAACTTCACTTCTCGGGCATTTTATCGCCAGATGGCCCATTCGGGCAACTCCTGGCTGGCCTAATGTTAGAAATTAAGAGAATGAAGAAAATTGAGAAAGTGAAGAAAATTAGGGAAATTAAGGAAATTAGGGGAATTAAATGAAATGGGAAACGCGACGCGGTAATTCCCGTAAAAGCGCTTCTCCGTTAATAAAGGCAACAATTAGCCCGGGAATTTAAAAACCCCGATAAATCTTTATCTACGACCTCGTCGTATAAATAGTCGACGGAATGGTTGTACGCTTTCTTAGAGTTGTTTAAAGCTACGTTAATGATTTCACATTCGCCCACGCTTACATGAAACATAATAAAACGTACACATAGCATGGATTGATATTTAATCAAAAATTAGTATCAAAATACATTTAATCCCTTCGCGTCGCTGCACTGAGGACGCACTTTTCGAGCCGAGTGTACACCATATCGGTAGAATAAATCAGCCGAGTGATTACTCTCGAAATCCCGTGTCGAAAGCCAACACACTCGATAAAATATTTCAAAACAAAGCCCGGCGCTACGTCCACTCCGAGAATAAAATACGAATTTCATGAATACCTCGAAGAACGCATAATTTAAAAGAGCCCGACGAAAAATGGAGGAGAAGAAAAGATGGCCTCCCAGCCGGGCAGAAAAACGCGCGCCTTCGTTCACGATCAGATCACGTATAAAGGGGTTTAAGAGGTTTTAAAAACGTCGAGGTCAATTCTCGTCCGATTTGACCTGAAGTTGGCCATAAACGGGTGCGGGGGTGCTCAACGGAGGCGCCGCCACCGGGCTCGGATCGAAGCTTGAATGGCCGTTGGAATAAGAAAAGAAGCAGAAAAGCGGCGGATCGCTCGCCTCTCCGTCTCTCTCGCTCCAGCCCGACTGCCGGTCGCTCCGTCTCCCTTTACTTGTCCGACAACGAGGCGAGTATCGAACGCTCGGGGCCAGCTAATCGAGAGCCGAGTTACATAATTGAATCGATAAACCGAACTCAAGGGAATGAGCGCCACTGCCATAACTATTTCCAATGTTTTAAGGGTACACTCCCGGCCAGAAGTGCCCGCCCAGTATTTATATCTACGGTTAATCTTGCCTCGCGGCAGCTGCATCTGCACTCCATTGATATCGCGCACGAACGCCACTTTCAGACCGATTCAAAATCCAGCTCCTCTTTAGGCATCCCATTCCCTTGGATTGATCTCTTTCCAATTATCGATCTACCGGCCCGAGATCTTCGTTTTCCGAGGAATATGCGGCGGATGGGAAAACGATAAATGTGATATTTTTCTTCTGGTATGTCTGAGTAACTTCCACGTGTTAAGGTGTTATGAAAGCATTATATACGTACACAAAGAGCCATATAATTTGACCCAAAAATTCAAAATACAGGCGTCCTTCGATTTATTCTCAGTATACGTTTTAAGCGAATGAAAATCCCGGAAATATAAACTTTTAATCCTACCGTCCGTAAGTATTAATAAAAATTTCATTTTGATGCACTATCGTCGTGGAACTGTAATTTCATCAGATGTGAAATTTATAGGCATCGTTTATTACGAGGAATACTATTACTTGTTGGTATTCCGGATTTTCTTTCCACTTTTTCCACTTTCACGAGTAATACCTCCTCGTCACGGTATGTAATTAACCGTATGCCATTAAAGAGGCGACATTTGAAATCCGGCTTGGAAATCCAAACGCGGCCGAGGGCCTCGCGGAATTAAAAGCGGCGGTTAAAAAACATAAACACCGAAAAAAAAGAAAAACAACGCCGATGCTTTGATATTAAAACTGGAAATGGAAATTAAATCTGTACGAGAGTGCCGTCAGGCGAAGCCCGGGAATCGAAATGAATAACATGCAAAATCAAAACGAAATTAAATACCGCACTGCCGAAAGTGAACAGAATTTATCAAAGTCATAAATAAAGCTTTGGTCGCGTAAACTCGACCGTACAGTGATTTCTTTTAATTTTAATGCATATTTTAATCGGCTGAAATACCAGCAAAACCGACTAAAACGATAAATCGAGATCAAAGGGCAAATGACAAACTTCAAAACGATAATAAACCAAAATAGCAATCGATAAATAAAGATCCGATATTAAACGAGATTAAACGTAATTGCGGACAAAAACATACGCTAACGCGCGAAAGAAGAATAATCACATTGTAGGGAGTCAAAGGGAGCGATAATAGAAAACAATTGTAAATAAGAACAGATAATAATGCAGGCATTTTGTGCGCCATTAAATCGAGGAAATAGGGTCCGCAGTTAATAATCCCAACAATTGCCGACTAAGCAATCAAACGAGCTCGATTTCATCACGCACACGTAATACGGCATGAATCATGCAGCAAAAACACGTTGGTGACGTGTCCGTTAAATACGAGGCAATTCCGAAATTTCATTCGACGGGAACGCGATAAAAAAATCAATTTATATAAAGGGTTACCTCAGGTTGTAGATTTTCCAAAATGGCCGCGAACATAGAGGCCGGAGGAGAGAAAAAGACGGCGGGACGAAAATCGGCGACAGGGGTTAAACGAGAGCCCCCTCGGCGTACGGCACTGCCGCGTGTAATCGCATATACGAAGCTGTCTATGTCCCTTTCGCCCCACTCTGTGGTTCTGTTTTCCTCTCTATCTAGCCCGTGCGTTCGCAGCAATCCTCCCCCACCACCGGCCGAGCTTGTATTCCAGCCCATCTGTCTCTCTTTTCAATGTTATGTTCTCCCCGGCTAGATGGAACTGGGCATCTCTCTCGAGCGCCCGGGTACCCTCATATCGCCGTCTCCGTCTGGCCCGCGGTCGGAGCCAATACTGTTCTCGCATACCTGCCTCTCGCTCACGCCAGCCCTCCCTCCGTCTCCCTCCCACTGGCCGCTCGCCCGATGGCTCTCTCTCTCCCGCACTCACGGTCAGTGCCAATGCCCCCACCCCGGCTCTCCCTGCGTCGCGCGCATTCCACCACCTGTATCGCGCTCTCCCTCGCACTTACGGTAAACTCACTCGAGCCTCTCACTCGCCCCTCTCCCAGAGTCTCGCCCCACTCCGCGAGTCGCTTTCCATTCTCGTCTACCATATTGCGCGGCCGGTAGCGCGCTCTCTCTCGCCCGCATCGCGCGGTCAGCGCCGACCTTCCACCTCGGGGTCGCCCCCTCTCTCTCGCGCTCCCGCGCGGCCCTATCCCCCGCTCTCTCTCTGCCCTAAGGACCGATTCACGATCGCCGAAAAACCGGCGCGCCGCGTGATTACCACGTGAACGGCGTCAACGACAGGTGGTAGCGCCAACAATGAGCCGAACAAAAGACAAAGATGCGGACAAACAAAGCGGGCGCGAAGCAGGGCGAGCAAACGAGAGAAACTCCGAGGTGGGGTTTTCGCGCTTCCCTCCTTCTCTTCGCCTCCTCTCCGAGAGAAAGAGAGGGACAGAGGGCGTCCGTTAAGGACGGATCAAAGATTCAAAGTTGCCTTCCGGAAGATTCCACCCCTCCTCCCTCCTCCTCCCACTGCGACGCCCGGTCGAGCTTGCCGAGCACCAATGGGCAAAAGGATTATGGCGGCGCACTCCCGAGTAACTCGACCCTCGCCCGGTGACAAGTTTTAATGCGATTTTGTGTTTCAGATTTTTCTCCCGGGACTTTTCCCCGAGGAAACGCGCCGTGGCCCCGTCCAGGGTCGCACGGGCACAATGCACCTGCGCATTATGCGGAAAATTGCGTCGAAATGAAAGAAAATTAGGCAGGGTGTCTCTGTTTTTCCAGAACGAGAGAAGCGGACCCGATAAAAATTCCACGCTGTCGCAAATATCACTTAAAAAACGCTAATCTCTGCAGTAATATCAGCTAGAGATATCGCTCTCTCGGTTGCAGGTGCAGGATCGAGGCACCTTGCACTTGGATATTGAGCACACACCCCGCGAATAACGAGGCCAGCGATTCGCAAAGAGAGAAATTAATCTTCCCTAAAAAGATCCCCGCGTCATTGGGAATATAACTTTTTACGACCTTGTCGGCCGGCCGGCAATAAGCTGAGCGGCGATATTGACCTAAAGCCCGGTTTACACGAGACCGGGTCGAGCCGCACGCTGTGCATTTCTCTTGGCCCTTTTCCCGTTCCCTTTCTCTCTCTCGGCCGTTCTTCCGAGGTGACTCGAGCGAGCCCCAGTCGCCCTAGAAAAGGGGAGGGGAAACCAAAGCAATACAGTCGACTCCCCGAGGCTCTACGTTTGGGGATGAACCGGTACGACGTATCGATACTTTTATATTTATTGCTTGCATAGGAAATGAGTACTGACACGTAAAAAGAAAAGAATATCGACGCTGGTATAAACGATAAATATTTTACCGAGACAATATAATTTTTGTCGATTCGATCATAGGATATAAATGATCGAATGAAATGTCGGTTCATCCCTGTCCCTGTCCCTGCGCGCGTCCGTGTGAACGCAGCTTTACCTCGGCGGCGCGCGGCCCTGTGAGTGCGAGCGAGACGACGCGAGCGGCGCGCGGCGCGCCCGACGAGGACCGACACACGTGGAATTTGATTCAGGTATCGCCGGCGAGAGCGAGAGAGAGGGCGCGTTGCGCGGCAGGGCGCGCGCGAGAGAGACGCCGACAGAGACACGCCGAGAGCCATTGACACGGAGCGCGCGCACACCAGCCTTCGGATACACTTGACTGACTCGGCGGCGCAACACCTCGCGAAAAACTTAGGCTCGCTTAAACGGAACGTTTAGGCCTTTTCAGACCCCTAACTCGGGAAAGTCTTTCTGCTTTTTGCGCCATCCGAAGGCAATCCGGATAATGAAACTCTTCTCGACCCCTCTTTCTAAAACTAGAACATACCAATTTTTATTTCAAACCGTTCGCGGCGTGTTTTCCACATTCTTAATCAACAGTCGCGACTACTTGTATTTCTCTACGATACAGATCATTTTTGTACACCATTTGACAGGATGGGATTTTTTTTTATTATTTTCGTTGTCTGACCATAATTTTAAGTCTCTAAAAATACACTCCTCACTCTTCGCCTCTACGATAGTTTATACCATTTGTTTTTTCAGGAATTGAAAACACGAAGTAATTCCGCCTAATTGCGTGACAGATACGCACATTAGCGCATATTTAAATTTTCGTAAAAATGTAAGGATTTTTCCTATATCGTATAGAGTCTCGAGAAGGCAAATTTCTGGAGGAAGGAAGAGAGCATCATAGACTGGACTGGGAGTGCGAGTAGGACGGAGATACCTGCGCGCAACACCTCGCGAAACGCTTACGTCCATTTGAACGTTCCATTGAGACATTTCGAGACGTAACTCGGACATAAGCTCGGGAAAGTTTGCGACTTTCTCTTTTTGCTGCTCTTTTCTTAGACCGAGTCGAACAGCCGTCCTTTCTCGACTAAATAATTCGTTAGGGAACACCTCTCCCTCTTGTTATTATTACCCCGTCAGCAAGGACCATTATCTCCCTTATTACCGTCGAACGAGTCTCCCACTTAACTAGAACGAAATATATATATAAAACGTAGAAAAACGGAACCAAAAAAAAATCCCGCTTAACTAGGGAAAGAAGATATTAAACGTAGAACAAAAAAAAAGAAAAAGTCGCGCAAATTCCTCCCTTATCACCTTCGAGGGAGTCGTTCACCTAGAGCAGAAAAAAAAATGAATCTATTAAGAGAAAAATTTCTCACTTTAAAAAGAATTACTAATCGCAGCAAAACAAAGTGACAAAATTCCTCCCTTATTACCGTCTATGTTAACTTGGGAGAAAATGGTATCAAAGGTGTAACAATAGCCGCAGAAAAATTCCAGCCGAATAAGGGTAACGCAGGATGACGGTAAAAAGGGATAACCGCGTTTATTTAAGGTATATTTACTTCTTCGTGTGAGGAATTCAAGTGGGGACAACCGAGTGGTCATAGAGTCGGCGCGGGGGTAAGGGAAAATAGAATGTACGAGGAAGCCTTCCTGGGCGACCCTCAGGGGTAATAAAAAATACCAAACGTGCGAACGGACATTTCTTTCAAGGGCCGGTGCGGCCCTCGAGCTTCGAGTGCAGTTTCTTCCCTTTTTCTTTTTATTTTCAACCTGCGTTCGTCTTTCGGGAGAAACGTCGACCGGGGATGAAAGGGTCGAAAATTCTGGGGAAGAAATATCTCCGGGAAAATTCAGCCCACAGGAGGGGGCAGGGGAGCGTGAAAGAGAGTGCGACGACGTAATCGCCGCGATAAATTAAACCGAAACCCCGCGATGCACCTGCAACCTTCGGATGCACCTCGTGAGAAACACCCGGAGTCGTTTAAACATTTCATTTAGATACTTCGCGACGTAACCTCGGACGTAAACCCGAGAAAGTCTATTTCTTCTCGCACTCTTTTTCCTTTCCCCCTTCTTCTCTCGAGAGGAGACAAACGACCCTCTTCTCGGCCAAACAAGATCTGCTTTGCCTTATCTCCTGCGTTATCGTTATGAGTGATATTATATTTAGATTATACCTGAACCGGCCATTATCATTGTCACATGTGCTCGAAAACTAAGTTAAAAAAAAAAATAGTTACAACATTTGCAAAAATTAATCCGCCAGTCGGAGCAGATCGAGATAAATGGATGTGAACTTGCTCCATGTGATAAGGAATAATTCGGGAGAAATGTCTCGTATTCGCGGTTTTCCAGGACTCGGTGTTTTCGATCGTCGGAAGAGTCTAGGGGTCGTGAAATAAATTAAAATTCATTCCGCCAGGAATGGGAGCTTTTATTTGAGGAGCAGGGCCACAAAGCCTCCTTCTTGGTAAGCGCGCCGAGTGTGACATACCACATCATTATGCACATGGATAAAAATAAACGTAGTACGAGAGGGATTTGTGCCAAACTTGAATTTCCGAAGGAAAATCGATTTGGCCCGACAAAGCACCTCGTTCTCGGGCGACAGGTTATCGACAAGTCATGGATGAATGAGAAGTCAGTCAAAGGAAATAGAGAAAAAAAAAAATAAAATAATATAATATAAGCGCCGGGTCGAGCGTGACCATGGCGAATAAAAAATAATAAAAACGCCCCAAGAGCGAACAAACGTATATTAGCGAGAAGGGACATTTTTATGCCGTTTTAACAACTAAACAAAATCCCGCCCCGATAAAAATAGACGAAACGCGGGATTCGTGCCAGAGCCTTTCCGGGAGTAAATGCGATTTGTTAAACGTACTCGTCGTCAAGTTTATCACCGACAATCGACAATTTCAATAGCTCCGCGATCGCGTCTCATTGATTGGCAGCCGTGGGAAAGAATATTTCTCGAAGTGAAAGTACACCCGATATGCCCTCCGCAATTACCAGGAATATCTTTAATAATGCCCGCCCTATTTAATCAAACGAGTAAAATGACAATATGGAATCATCGCGCCTTTATTTTCGATTGAGAAAACAGATACAATGTTAAGGAAAAAAAAACAAACGGCGAGCGATCGACTAATTCGACGTTGCGAATTTTCTTCTCAATTAATATCGGAAGCCGTGGGGGAATTTATGGACACGTTGTCGCGTTTAATAAGAACAATTGCTCTATCGGGTAACAACGTGGGTATGTTTTGCAGTTGCCAGATCGTTCAACCTTCGAGGCTCGCGAGAGAGGCGAAACGGGCGTGCGTGCACGTATATGCAGAGCCACGCACACGGCACGCACACGCGTAAACTCGATGTGGCCATTTGTCTATTGCTCGACGAAACATGGCGGCAATGTCGCGTACCACGCCACGCGTGTATAGCCCCCGCCGTCGGAGGGATTATTAAATCCGCCGTTTTTCAAATTTGTTCCCGATAAAGTTCGCCCGTGGGCGTGCGCCGCTTCTCCCACGCGCCAATAAACCATCCCTTTGGCCAAATTTATAAATAACCCTCGCCTGCAAAATTTCACGCCAATTTCCTATTTTACGCTAAACCGAGGGGATAATATTCTCCAGGTATTCCCCCTGAACATGCCGCACGGAGAATTCCTATGTTTAATTCCCGTGGGAACGAACGGTCCCCGTATGAATATATATCTCTCACCGAAATTAAATTAAATTAAAAACAAATTGGAAGAAAATTATAACCTCTCATTGGACAGAAGCATACACGCATAAACGTGATCGTGATTATAAAAGTGGTAGATTCGTGATAAGAAATATTTATCCCGATTAATCGCGAATAAAATATTCTCCTTTACTCGCGGTATATATATATATTTTTTTTCTTTCTTTCTCTCCTCAATTAATTCCTGCAAAAAGTACTCGAGAATGAAGTGCACTACCGCGCTCGGCGCGCACTCGATGCAATTATTTGCCGATTGCTTGACAAAACATGACTGCAATGCCGCGTAACACGTCGAGTAGGTATGTATTGTATGTGTACATATGTATGTACTCCCCGCGGTCCGGGGATTATCAAATCCGACGTTTTTCGAATTTGTTCCCGATAGTGACCCTGGGCGAACCGCTCTCGCGTAAAATAACCGGCTTTACCTCCAAT